GAGTTCTTTAGGTATCACATTTCATTTATGTCAAAATTGTGCTGGAGTTTAGTTCAATTTTATACTAGTTGTCTTCACATTTTTTTCTAATAGCAACATTTTTATATATACAAAAATTATGTGCATAAGTATGACATATATACACATTATTTAAACACATTTGAAAACCATTTACAACTTCATCTTTTACTTAGCATCTAAATGACATTAAATCTAATTTACTTTTATATGTGCATAAATATGACATATATACACATTATTTAAACATATGAAATCCATTTACTGATTTGTCTTTTACTTAGATGTATTTATTTGTACATATGAAAACAGTAAGTTATTTTTATTTTACTTTAAGTTTCAGAATACATGTGTAGAACGCACAGGTTTGTTACATAGATAAACGTGTGCCATGGTGGTTTGCTGCACCTATCAACCCGTCACCTAGGTATTAAGAATGTCATTTTGAATGACACTGTAGTCCAGTCAGCCCTCCATATCCATGGGTTTTTCATTAAATCAGCCAATGGCAGATTGAAAATATTTGGGGAAAAAACCAGAATGGTAGTATCTGTACTGAACATGTTCAAACTTTTTTCCTTGTCATTATTCCCTAAACAATACAGTATAACAACTATTTCCATACCATTTATATTGTATTAGGTATTATAAGTAATCTGGAAACAATTTAAAGTATACGGAAGCCTGGGTGTAATTTATATGCAAATACTACACCATTTTATATAAGGGACTTCAGCATCCATGGATTTTGGTATCCAAGGGAAGTCCTAGAACCAGTTCCCAGGGACACTGAGGGATGATTGCATTTCACTGTATGGATAGCCTTAATTTATTTATCTTGACTTTATTGACCAATATTTACGTTTTGTAGTATTTATTTATGCTATTTTGAACAATGTTGCAGTGAATAGGCATGCATACATATTTGAACATATGTACACTTATTTTCTTACAAAATATTCCTAGAAGTGGAATTATGAGGATATGTATATTTATTTTTTTTTCAGATATCATTTATACACCAGACAATTCACCCATTTAAGGTGTACAATTTAATGGCTTTTACTGTATTCCTAAGTTGTGCAACCATCACCATGATCAATTTTAGAACATTTTCATCATCCCATAAAGAAACCCCATACCCATTAGCAGGCACTCCCCGTTTCTCCCCAGTTGTTCAGTCCTGAACAACCACTAATCTACTTTCTGGGTCTACAGATTTCCCTATTCTAGATATTCCATATAAATGAATTCCTGTGATACATGGTCTTTGCAATTAGCTTTTTTTACTTAATGTTTTCAGGGCCCATCCATGTAGTAGCATGTATCAGTACTCCACTCCAATTTATGACTGAATACAATTCCATAATATGGAAAAATCACAGTTTGTTTGTCCTGTCAACTATTGATGAACATTTGGGTTATTCCCACTACTTGGCTAATATGAATCATTCTGCTGTGAACATTAGTATATAAGTTTTTGTTGGAACATATGTTTTCAGTTCTCTGGGAATTAAAAGAGAGGAATTGTTGGGTCATATGCTTATTCCATGTGTAACTCATTGAGGAACTGCCAAGCTGTTTTTCATGGGAGTGGCATCATTTCACATTCCCACCAGCAGTATATGTGGGTTCTAATTTCTCCACATACTTGCAAACACTTGTTGTTATAGCTATCCTAGAGGGTGTGAAGTGACATCTTACTGTGGTTTTGATTTGCATTTCCATAATGACCGAAATGTTGAGTATCTTTTCACGTGCTTATTGGATATTTGTGTCTCTTTGGGGAAATGGCTATTCAAATCCTTTGCCCATTTTTCAGTTGGATTATTTGTCTTTATATTGTTGAGCTGTAAGATATACATATATGTATATATTCTGAATACAAAGCCCTTATCTGAAATATGATGGGCAAATATTTTCTTCCATTCTGTGGATGTCTTTTTTTGGTGGTGTCCTTGGAGCAAGAAAGTTTTTAATTTTATTGACGTCAAATTAGTCTATGTTTTCTTTGGTAGCTTGTTCTTTAGGTATTATGTATTTTTTTTTTTAATTAATCGAAGGTCACAAAGATTTACATCTACTTTGTCAATTTCTGCAAAGAGCCATCTGGTATTTGGATAGGGATAGTTTTAAATTTATAGATCAATGTAGCAAGTATTGCCATCTTGACAAAATTAAGTCTTCCGATCCATGAAATGGAATGTATTTCTCTTTGTTCAGGTCTATTTTAATTGCTTTTGTAGTATTCAGATTACAAGTTTCATACTTCGTTTGTTAAATTTATTCCTAAGTATTTTATTCTTTTGATGCTATTGCAAATGGAATTTTCTTAATTTCATTTCTGAATTGTCCATTGCTAATGCATAGGAATACAATTGATTTTTTATTGATCTTACATCCTGAAATCTTAATAAAATTATTGATTCATTCTCATAGGTTTTTCAGTAGGTTCCTTAGGATTTGCTGTGTACAAGCTCACGTACAAGATCACCTGCAAATTGAGGTAGTTTCTTCTTCCTTTCTAATTTGGGTGTCTTTTTTCTTTTCTTGCCTAAGTGCCCTGATGAGAACCTCCAAAGTAGTTCAAGCAAACATGTTTGTCTTATTCTTGGTCCCAGATTTAGTCTTTTATCCATTAAGTATTACGTTAGCTATGGGTCTTTGTAGATGACCTTTATCGGATTGAGAAATTTTTTTCTGTTGCAAGATTGCTGAATGTTGTTATTATGAAGGGAGGATGTTTGTTTTGGTCAACTTCTTTTTCTGTATCTAAATTATCATGTGTGACCAGGTGTGGTGGCTCACGCCTGTAATCCCAACACTTTGGGAGGCTGAGGGGGGCAGATTGCTTGAGCCAGGGAGTTTGAGGCTAGCCTGGGCAACACAGCAAAACCCCATCTCTGCAAAAAATGCAAAGAATTAGCCAAGAAGGTGTGGTGGTATGCACCTACAGTCCCAACTACTCAGGAAGCTGAAGTGAAAGAATTGCCTGATCCCAGGTCCAGAAAGTTGAGACTGAGTGAGCTGTAATCAAACCACTGCATTCTAGCCTGAGCAATGGAGTGTGACCCTGTCTCAAAAGAAAAAAAAGAAAAAAAAAATACAGAAAACCAAATATATATTCACACACACATATATATGTATATATATTATCATGTGTTATATGTTTTGTCTCTTATTCTATTAATATTATGCATCACATTAAATGATTTTTTGGATGTTAAATTAACTTTGTACTTCTGAGGTAAATCCCACTAAATCATAACGTTCTTCATATGTTGCTGAATTTAGATTGTTAGTATTTTGTTGAGAATTTTTACAGCTACATTCATAAGAGATATTGGTCTGTACTTTTCTTATGATGTCTTTTTCCAATTTTGGTATCAGGGTAACCATAAAATGACTTGGGAAGTGTTTTCTCCTCTTCTGAATTTTGGAAGAGTTTGGGGAAAAATGATACTAATTATTCTTTAATTGATTTATAGGATTCACCAGTGAAGCCATGTGGTTCTTTTTGGAAAGTTTCTTAATTGCTAATTCGATCTTTTTTCTTGTTATAGATCTATTTCAGATTTTTATTTCTTTTTGAGTCAGTTTTGGTAATTTGTGTCTTTCTAGGAATTTGTCTCTTTCTAGGAATTTGTCTATCTTATCTAAGTTATCAAATTTGTTGTCACACAGTTGTTTATATTATTTTCTTATAGTTATTTTTTGTTCTTGTAAGGTTAGTAGTGATGTTCTCTCTTTCATTTCAGAGTAGTATTTTGAGTCTTTTCTCTTTTATTCTTGGTCAGTCTAAATAAGGTTCATCAATTTGGTTGCTATTTCCAAAGAAACAACTTTCATTTTGTTGATTTTTGCTATGGTTTTTCCATTCTCCAGTTCATTCGTTTCTGCCATAATCATCATTATTTCCTTGCTTCTGCCTGATTTAGGTTTTGTTTGCTCTTCCATTTTTAGGGTCTTAAGTGAAATGTTAGGTATTCAATTGGGATCTTTCTTCTCTTTTACTATAGATGTTTATAGGTATAAATTTCTCTCCAAGTGCTACTTTAGCTGTATTCCCTAAGTATTCATTGTCATTCATCTCAAAATAGTCTCTTATTTCCCTTGTGAGTCTTCTTTGAGTTACTGGTTGTTTAGGAGTCTGTTGTTAATTTCCATATATTTGAGAATTTCTCAAATTTCTTTTGTTATTGATTTCTAATTTGATTCCATTGTTGAATCATCTATTTCTCCTTTCAATTCTGCCAGATTTTGCTTCATGT